TAACCCCAAATATGGCCAAAATTGACGTAAAAAGTGTCATTTTTCATGAAAAACGCTCCCAAAAATTCAATTTTTAATTTTTTAAAAAATCCTTCGTTCAGAGACAAGCCAGACACATAAGCTAACAGAAAAATTTTGGTTTTTTGATTTCAAATAAAAATTGACGGAGAAATCCTGCCTACCGCAAGGACATAATTTTTTTTAGGGTTAAGTTCAACCCTCCCTCAACGGCTCATTTGTGAATATTTTTTGTTCAAAATTTTACGGAATTTAGTTCAAACCTTATGTATTAATGTAAAATAAATGAAATTTGCAAAATTGTCATAGGATCTTTTAAAAAAATTCTGGAAAATAGGCCTCTTTTTGTGGTTCTAAACCCGGATAACCCCTTAAAAGATTTTAATTTCAGAATTATTTAACTCTAAGGAAGATCTTTTAAGAAGCCACTAAAAGCTACCCAGATTAAGCAATTATTGTTTAATAATAAACATAATATTACCTCAAATAAATCCAGTTACATTTAGTTAAAGACTTAAATAACCTATAAAAACAATACACAAAGTGAGAGAAGAGAATGGGGCAAGTGCCAGAAAAAGTCCTTGGGGGTTAAGTCGCTCGAAATATATACCACTGGCAATAAATTAAAGTCGACTAAAGTCAGCGCTGATTAGTTAGCTATCGATGTCAACCAGGTAAATAACAAAGTTTAACAAATTACGTCAGGCTCGACTCGAAACGGCCAATAAAAAAATTTGCAAATCAATGCAAATGACTGGGCAAACAATGAAAGGCAAAGGGGGAGCGTTTCGGGCGGCGACGCGTCGCCACCACACACAAAACCGAGAGCAGAATTAATTAAGTAAATTGGTGGGTCGTAGGGGGGAAAAAGGGGAAGAACTCGAACCCGAGTTTAGCAAAAGATGTCAGTGTGTCACAAGGATGCCGATAAACGAGTTTTTTCCCTCTTTCGATTTTGAATATTAGACAAATGGGATTCGATTTTTGTGTTTTTGCTAGCCAAACAGGAATTACGAGAAAGTTGAACAAAATGCTAATGTTGAAGTCAAGATGCTCTACATAATACATACTTAATCTGGGGTTTGATTGTGGCTTATACTATTTATAAACATAAAATATGACTCACATTTTATTAGTTCAAAGGGTGAATACTCTTTTGTGATAAAAACAATGCAGATTTTTTTTATCATTATGATTCATATAGTTTCTATGAATAAAGTAATGTAAGTATTTTTATAACTTGACGGTTAGTCAACACATTTTCTTTAATTACATTTTATTATTAAAGTTGCACAAGTCAAGAGAATTAATGTAGAGACTAAATTTTCAATTTATATATAAGAAAAATCATACAACAAATCACAATGTTAAGCAACAATTTTAGTTTAAGATTAAATGTGAATGGAACATATTTTTAAAAATATATAAAGTATCTTAAGATTGATTAAGACCTACAATTACTTTGGAAAAAATCTATAAAAATCTAAAACTTATAAAAAAAAAACATTATACAGATTTTTATTAACTTTTTTATATATTTTATAGTCCTAAACTATAGAGTATTGATATCAACAAGCTTTTTATCCTCGGCAATACCTGTTTTCTATACACTTTCTTTCAAATTAGAATTCAATTGATGTTGGCCTATTCCATCCGCTTTTAATGAAAGTGCAGCTGCAGCTGCGGCAACATCAGCTTCAAGTAAAACGCAACACGCGGCAGCAACAGTTGCAGCAACAAGTTGCACTTGCATGCACCACTGTGCACTGAGCCGTGCAGGAGGGAGCGAGAGGAAGACAAGAGATAGAGATGCCGGGGCACACACACACACACACACATGCACGTATCAAGACACTGGCGTTTCGTTTTAGAATTTTTAGTTTAATGATTTGTAACCGGTTTTCGAGGTGGCAATTCCCATGCGACGACGGCTGCTGCAGTTGCTACCGTTGCTGCAGGGCTACACGTACTCACAAAGATATGTACACATGGAGTTTGTGCCACTGTTTAATTACACTTCTTCCTACGAACAGCTTAAAAATAATAACAATAGCGGAAGTTATACAAAAGCCGCAAAACCGGCCGCATAACAAAAGAGAAGAATCAAGTAAAAAAGAGATAAAACAACAGGGGTTGCGAGCGATAAGAGGCAAAGAACTCGACAACGGACGAAGGGCGAAAGAGTGCTAGCGAATAACATGTGACGAAAGCAGTCAACTGGATACGAGTTTAACAACATTTAACTGTTGTTTACACCCGTGATTGCCCCTATTCCGTTTCTAACTAGTGCAGAAAAAGCACTTACACACATGGATCTTACTAACTACAATATCTCTGCCATTTATGGCTTGCGCAACAATAAAGCACAAAGAGTCTGGAAGGGAAGTTACAGGTCTTTGCAAATACATGTCAGATCTTGTAATTATTACAGGAAATCTTATATCTTATATGTATGTACATACATATCTTATTTAATCTCATCTCATCCAGTAATCTTACTAATTCCAAAAAAATAATCAGTGATTCAGGGATACAAACTATAAGTAATACATTTTCAATTTATTTATTAATCATAAAAGGAAATTTTTGAAAAATAAAACCTTGGACCCTCTTTCAAGCTTAAGGGACAATAAACCCATTCCCTTCAATTAAGTTATAGTTCCTGACAAATATAACTCATGTCAAAATGATATATTATTTTCAATATTACTTAGGGATAGGTTGAAAGAGAATAGAATATGTTAACACATTCTCTACAGATTCTTTCAAATTGTAGACTTTAAAATGATTTTAAAAAAATATGAAAAATATAAATGTAAATTAAAATTTAATTATTAAATACTAATATCAAAAACTCTTCAATTAACACTTGAAATAAACACTTTTTTAACAATTAATTGGAGAAAATTCAAGTTTATTTAAATAGCTTGTTTAGTTTTTGTCCCCATACTTGCTTTGGGATAACGTGCTTTTTTACCTGCAATTCCCAAATGACTTTTTCAAACCCACCTAGTGTCCCTCGTTTCAAAAAAAAATAGTAAAACAGGCTTACCTCCAAAAGTGTGCGAAAAGCGGCCGTCAGCCATTCAAGTCCAATTGCAAGGCGAGAGTCTCCGCTTTTGTAGGTCTTGTTTAGTGCGATTTTATTTGTAATTTTTCACCAGTTAAAGTTGCTTTCAGCCAAATTGAATCAAATGACGCAAAAAGCACAAGCTGCAAATTGTAAAAAATTGTATTTATTATAGACACACACTTTCACGGCACTATTAATTGGCTAGATTTTTCTCTCCATCTCGTGCTGCTCCTCCCACTCCTCCTCCGTCTCCTCTTTAGCTTCCTCTTCGGCGCAAACAGCTGGCCAAGTTGTTTGCCCACATTTCGCACAGTGGACAACTTTCGCTCAAAACGGATGCAGCGATGCAGGCAGACGGCGGCGGGGGGGGAGGCGCGGCAAGGAACAGGTTTTCTTTGCAACAGGAATTCTTTTTGTTGCTCTTTAGCCACTTTTTTTTTATTTGTATTTTGCTAAATTTTCATCTCTTTTCCTTCGTTTTTAATTTTCCATCAATTGGCACGTTTCCGCTAGGCTGGATTTACGTTTTTCTATTGGGTTTCTACTGGCGCCCCAATTTATTTACGAGTGTTGTTCTAATTTATTTCGCTGGCCCACAAAACAAACAAATATTTTTATTTATCTCGCTCCGCACTTTCTTTCGGCATTTTTTTATGGCCCGAAAAACGCGATCCGCTTTTTCCTCTTCTCTTTTGCTATTTTTAACAGAACACACGCACGCACACACACACACGGTGGGCCCGCACTCAGGTGAAAATTAGTGCAGAATTCTTTGCCGATCGTACCGAATTAATATTGTTTAATAAAATAACTCTGCTAGTGCAGAATCAACTTAATGGTTCAACAAGTTGTTGTTTCGGGACGAGCACGTTTTGGTTTTTGGTTGAAACTCACACAAATCCAACCGAAAATTGTAAACTATACTTAATAAAACATTAAAACAGCATCGATATGCAATAATCACAACAAACAATATAAATTTTGGTTGATTTTTTTACACAAAACCCGCTTCTTCGGACACAACAAACCAAAACCAATTCTCTGTTTATCTTTCTTCCGGGATGCCAATTTGGCTAATTTCCAGGCAAAACTGTTTTTTTTTAAGTCAAATGGCGGAAAGAATTGAAAACAGCGGGAAATCCGTCAAAGGACGTTTTTCAATCCTGTTCAGTTTTTATAAATTAAAAATTTACGTGTAGTAGTTTTTTTTAATTATTCTTTTTCCGCGGCACAACCGCCTTCGTTGGGTAAAATTTTTAATCTGCAATTTTTTTAAGCTGCGCGCGCGTCGCCCGTTCAGTGATGGCATTTTTTTTCTGAGCAAAAAAAAGCTGGATTACCCATAAATAAAAGCTTTAAAAAACCGAATTTTAAGAGAAATTAGCTTAAAAAAAAAAAACTGATTTTAAGAACATAATTTGTTGTTGTTTTTTTTTTAATATAAAATATTAAATCGAAGCAGTTATGTTGCTTTTGCAAACAGCAAGGCACTCTGGTCAATTCCAGAGATCGAAAATAAGAGTTATGAGTAAAATAAATAACTAAACTTAAATATTTTTAGATGTATGTATTTATTTTACATATTTATATTTCATATATGTTGCATATTTTATAAAAATTCCGAAGTCATATCGATAAGCTAATAATAAAAAAAAAAAGCGGAAATGGCATCACTGCCCCTAAATTCGTTATTATTTTATATTCGAACCACACCTGATACTCGAACCACTGTTGATATTCGAACCAGTAAAAATAGCTCAAATTTTAAAAAGTAAAATTTGTGTATTTTTTCATATATATTTTTTAATAAAACCTTTAAATAACAGGTATATAAAAATAAAAATCCAAAATTAATATACCTTTAGTTAATGTAAAGTGTATAAAGTAGCCCAGTAAAACTTAGTTCACCTTATTTAATTATTAATTTTATTTTCAATCTAAATATGGCATCGAAACTAAACTAAACAGTGACGACCGTCAAATCAGTCAATTAAAATGAACAAAAATTACACAACTAGTTTGGCGAATAATTAACTAAGAACACACAAATGATGACGAATATAAAATAAAATAATCGGTGGGATTACATTGCAGTTAGAACTCTAGTCTTCCTCTCACTTAGCGCGGAAATATACGAGTTATTGCGTTTAAATAGCCTAAGAGAAACTATAAGCGAGAATTGCTGGGGTCAGGAGCGGGTGGAAGGAGTGGAGCAGCAGGCCATAGACACATCCATTGGTAAATCCTGAGAGCACGCAAAGGTCGAGGTGCTGGTCGTCTCATTAAAGCCGCTGTCTACCCGGTAAAGCGGTATGCGGGGTGCCTGCTGTGGTGATACTACTAAAGGCTGCTCAACTTGCTGGTTTAGCGATATGTCCTGAGCATGATCCCGATCCTCCTCCTCCTCCAAATTGGCACTAAAAGATTGCGAGAGATTCTTGCGTTGGGCAGAGCGACGTCTTCGGTGTCCCCGTGGTGTGTCCGAGTTGGAGGAGCTGCAATTGAAGCTGAGGGTGGACAATTGCATGGCCTCGACTTCACCCTCTTCATCCTCTTCCTCGGTGTCTGGCTCTTCCTCCTCCTCCTCCTCGTCCTCTTCGGTCTCCTCGAACAAAGGCTTGTCGCCAGCCTCGACTAGTACTTGCTGTCGCGTGCTGTTCACCCTCAACCGGCTGACTCTCTGATTGATGCTGCAATCGGAGTGCTCCAGTCCCCCACCCATTGGCGATGAACTTCTGTCCGGCGTGAATTTCAAGGCAGTTCGCTCCGATAGAGTATCGTGCTGCTCTGTGACGCTCACCTCCACCTTGGAGTACGCCATTCGCCTGCTTAAATGCTCGGAAGCCGCTATTGGCGAGGGCAGTTCCATCTCCTGCATGAGCAGCTTCCGCTTCCCCGAGCAGTTGCCATCGTCCGGTGTGCCTGGTGGCAGGCCGCAGAGATTCCTGATGGGCGAAAGGCTGCCAAAGCTGCCCTCGCCGGAAGCCGAATCGGACAGACGACCCGCAAATAGGGTTTGTTTGGCCTGCGGACTAGAGCCCGCCATGGGCGATGAGTGCTCACCAGAATCTTGCTGGTCACCCAAAACGATGACATTGTGCAGATCAAAGAGCTTCCTTCGCATGGAGCTGTTGAAAATGTCGGAGCCACCGGTGGATTTGCTCCTTCCGGACAAGCGACCCACCGCCAGGTGGGGCTGCATGTACGGACGCAGGGCGTCCTCGAGGGCCTTTGGTAGGATCGGCGGAAGGCTAAGTTCCGTTTGCACCTCGCAGTCACGCCGGCGCTTGGATTTGTTGGATATCGGAGTGTTATCCTCGAGTATAATGCGATGCTTGCGAAGGGGACAGTCCACGGGACTTGGCACATTGTGCGACTCCTTGAAGAAAGCACTTATGGCTAACTGGGCTTTGGACTCCACCTCCGGATCGGGCGAGTCGTGGAACTGCGTCTCGTGGGGCTCCACGTCCGCGGGCTTCAGCTGGGAGACCTCGTCAATGTTCCACTCGAACTGGGTGGAGCAGAGTTGTGGAGTGCGCGATTGGAAAAGCGAGGGACTGCAAGCAAAGGGAATGCAGGATAAAAGGGCACACAACCTTCCCCCAAACTCACCTGGCTATCAACGGCAGGTGCAAGCGGTCCGCCAAGGCCACCTCGAAGGGATTTTGCACCTTTTGGAGCCGCTTCGGCGGCGGAGTGCACACTCCGGCCGACATCTGGGGGCTGTATTTTCCATTTTCCTTGCCGCCATTCGTTGGCTTTGTCGCCGACGCCGTTGGAGTGTGGCCTTTGGTATAGCTGTTGCTGCGCGCCCGGGCCTTCAGGCCGCTCAGATTGGTAAAATATCTGCTCTTGAGGGCCTGGGGCGTTCTCGCTTCGTCGTTGTACATTCTAGTCACAACTGCTGTTTGATTAAACTATAATTATAAACGAAAAGGGCACAAAATGCGCCCAGCAGATGTCGGTATTTCAAATGCAACCAGTGTGGCCGTGGAATCAATGACTTAAAATACCTTCGGTCCAGCCGAATATACCCGATATACCAAATATACCATTCACAGCGCACGAACGAATGGCTAGGAAGGAAGAAGAAGAACGGGTGAATGGCTGGGACCGAGGACGAAAACGGGCGAATGGCAAGGGTGAAGAAGAAGAAAAAGAAGAAGAAGAACAAGAAGAAGAAGAACAAGAAAACGAAGTGAAAATCACAGAATAAAAGCGAATAACTAAAATACCCCCGATAAACCGCAAAAGTGGCCAAAATTCGGCGAAAACAGCGAAAGTGTGACAAGGCATTCGTGCAACTGCAGCCAGCGAAACGAACGAAAACAAAAGAAAATAGTGTTGACAGCAATACGAGCGTAGTAAGCAGCAGCAGCAGCACCGTCAGCAGCGGCGTCAGCGCGGGCAGCGGCGCAGGCTGCGGCAACAACAACAAACGGCCGGCGGTGGGCACGGAAACGGGCCGGGGAACGGCCGAGAACGAAACAGCGACAACAACAGCTGCCGGCCGGTGTGCGGCGGCCCTAAGCGAAGCTGTTGCTAAAAGTGGGCGTGGCGGCGGGGACGGCGGCGCTGGCGGCGGTTTTGGGGCAAGCCGTGCGAAAGAGGAGTGGGAGGAGAGGCCGAAGGAGCAGCTAACAAAGGGCCACGGCCCACTGAACGCCACCCATTTACATTTAACCAACTGCCTGCGCACAGTGCAAAAACTTGCTATTGAACTTGACAGCGACGTCGACGCCAAAGCCAACGCCAACGCCAACGCGAGCAGCGAAGCCAACGCCAGCAGCGCTGTCATGTCAGAGACGGGCTGCCGGCATTATCAGAGCTACTTGAAGGAGCACAGCTACGATACATTCCGGGTCATCGACGCCTACTTCGCTGCCTGCGTCAACAGAGATGCGCGCGAGAAGAAGGTGAGAATCAGTGTAGTCAACGGTCAGGTGATAACAAATTCGCTGACGAATGTCTTTTAAGATTGGAAATTCAAAAGCTAAATTAAAATAAATAGCTAAATGGGCAACACTGGTGAGAATGAGCGAAATGAATAAAGTGGTGTGGGGGAAGGAGTGGGAGTGGGTGTGGGAAAATTGGCTTGGGGGCAAAAAGGACAGGGAGAAGAGAGATATGTATGATAGAAAGAGAAAGCGAAAGGTGATTTTTGTATATTCGTTGTCTTCTTAAAAATCAAATTAAAATATTTATTTGTTTACATTAGTGGTAAATTAATTATTAGCTCCTATCCATGTGAGTAAAAATAACTAAAAAGATGAGTTGACGAAAATTGTAACAAATTACCAAAAATGTTGATTATACAGTTTCCATAAACGTGACTCAGGTCAAAGTTAAGGTCACTGACCTTCGTAAAGCTGAAATATGTGAATAAGTAGCTGAAGACTGTTAAAAAATGATGAAAAATCAGTCTTTGAATGATTAGTAATGATTTTTAATTCTTCTACAGGTGATTTCGGAAAATTATGTATAAACAATTTAATAACCTTTATATATTGGGAAATTGGTTGAAACTTTTTAAGCCACTTTTCCATATTAATTTAAAAATTAATGTACTTCTAAAACTAAATAATATTAATCACTTTGCGGTCTTTAATAATCATTATTTTTTATTTATTTATTTATTTTTTTAATAATAATTAATAAAATAAAACAAATAACTAAATTTTAATATTTTTGGTTTTTTTTTTCTATCAAAAATAATTTTTATTTTAATTATTTTATTTTATTTTAAACGCAAATCTAGTGATTATCTTTGAATATAATAGAAAAAATCATAAAGAGGATATTTTTCTATATTTTAACAATAAAAATAATGAATATTTACGGTTTCTGTTAATTATAGAGGCAAATAAATATTATTTTTATATTAAAAAAATTATAAATATTTTATTTTAAAATATATATCACCTTTCATTAATACCCCGAAATTTCTTAACCCCCAGGCGATCCACTGCAATTGCTTCGAGTGCGGCAGCTATGGCATCCAGTTGTACGCCTGCCTGCACTGCATCTACTTTGGCTGCCGTGGTGCCCACATCACGAGTCATCTGCGATCGAAGAAGCACAACGTGGCATTGGAGCTATCCCACGGAACCCTGTATTGCTATGCCTGCAGGGATTTCATCTACGATGCGAGGAGCCGGGAGTATGCGCTGATCAATCGCAAGCTGGAGGCCAAGGATTTGCAGAAGAGTCTCGGCTGGCAGCCGTGGATACCCACAGCCAAAGAGACAAATCTGCTGCTGGCAAATGCCAGACGGAGATTGGTTAGACCAAATCAAACGATTGGATTGAGGGGATTGCTTAATTTGGGGGCCACCTGCTTTATGAACTGTATTGTTCAGGTTAGTCCAGGATTGGAGGTTAAAAAATGCATTAAAATAAAGCAAGCTATTCCTATTTTTAGGCTCTGGTGCACACGCCTCTGTTGAGTGATTACTTCATGTCGGATCGCCATGAATGCGGTAGCAAGTCCTCGCACAAATGTCTTGTCTGTGAAGTGTCGCGACTCTTCCAGGTGAGATATTATAATTATCAAAATTATCAAATTATCATGTATTCTATCCTTCTTAGGAGTTCTATTCGGGCTCCCGTTCGCCATTGTCGCTGCATCGCCTGCTGCATTTAATTTGGAACCATGCCAAGCACCTCGCCGGCTACGAACAGCAGGATGCGCACGAGTTCTTCATAGCCACCCTCGATGTGCTGCATCGTCACTGCGTCAAAGCCAAATCGGAGCACGAAAGCAAAAGCAATAGTTCAAGTTCCGGCAGCGGTGGCACCAACTCCAGCAGTTCCAGCAGCTCGCATTGCTATGGCCAATGCAATTGCATCATCGATCAGATTTTTACGGGCATGCTGCAGAGCGATGTGGTGTGCCAGGCCTGCAATGGGGTGTCCACCACATTTGATCCCTTTTGGGATATTTCATTGGATTTGGGGGAAACGACAACGCATGGTGGCGTTACCCCAAAAACTTTAATCGACTGCCTGGAGCGATATACGCGAGCCGAGCATCTCGGTTCGGCGGCCAAAATCAAGTGTTCCACATGCAAATCCTATCAGGAGTCCACCAAAAAGTTCAGTTTGCGCACTCTGCCCAGCGTTGTTTCCTTCCACTTGAAGCGCTTCGAGCACTCGGCTCTAATCGATCGCAAGATCTCCTCGTTTATCCAATTCCCCGTCGAGTTCGATATGACGCCGTTCATGTCCGAGAAGAAGAATGCCTACGGTGACTTTCGGTTCTCTCTGTATGCCGTTGTCAACCACGAGGGCACCATCGACACGGGACACTATACGGCATATGTGCGGCATCAGAAGGACACGTGGGTGAAGTGCGATGATCATTTGATAACGATGGCATCGCTAAAGCAGGTGCTGGACAGCGAGGGGTAAGTTTTGGCGAGTTAGAGGGTTAAATTTATTTAGAATTTACAATTTCAAATTCTTTTCAGTTATTTATTGTTCTACCATAAAAACGTTCTGGAATACGAGTGAGGCATTGGACATGGACATCCATAGAGAGACTGTTTATCCCTCAAGAACCCATAAAAACAAACAATCCCTGCATAACGAATAAACATAAACACAAACTATAAAAAAAACAACAAAAAACAAACGACAAGTCCGCGGCAGCGCTTAAAAAATAAGTAATATTAACTAAAACAAAAGAAATCATATATTTGGGTATTCCTTTCACATATACTCAAAAGCATTGGAACAATAGAGAAAACGAAAGCGAAATTATTATTCTGAATTGTAATTTAAACACTCCGATCGATTTGTGGGGCTTACAAACCCGTTTATTGTTCTAAGTACTTCAAAACATAATACTAAAAAAAAAACTAAACAAATGCTACAAAAAAACAAAACAAAAAACATTTTTGCTTACGCATGTACATAAATAATGGAAAACCAGGGATATAAAACAAGCTCAAAACAAGTGAATTTAGCCACTTAGCCAAGTTTTGAAATATTTCAATTACCAAAAAATACTTGTATTTGTTTTTTAAAAATTTTACAGCAGTTTTACAGAAATCTCTTATTAAATTATTTTAATTCAAGTTTATTAGGTTATAATTTTTGATTTAAACTGAGTTGTTTTATAGTGGGAATATAATTCTAAAACAAATTTCAATAAGAAAATAAAAAAGATTTTAATTTAATAAACAAAAGACTAGGACAACCAAGTATTAAATTATTGTTTTTAAAATCAAAAGCATATTTTCCCTCGACTAGATACAAAAAACACTTATTTAAAAGCAAGAGATTTCTCCTAGAACTTTGATATAAATTTAAGTTCCTTAAAAATAACTTTCAAAGAAAGAAAATGTTCCGTAAAAATAACTTTCATAAAAAGAAAAGCAAAAAAATTTAATTTCAAATCCACTTGGGCTCGTCCGGGAATTGAACCCGGGACCTCTCGCACCCGAAGCGAGAATCATACCTCTAGACCAACGAGCCGGTTGAACGACGAGCGTCCGAGTTTGCATTTGTAGCGCTCGTCGTATAAATGTGGCAGTGTGACCTTTAGCTAAATACTGAAAAGTAAATAAATACGGTTGGTATTTCTTGCGGCTCCTTAGATTGGCCACACTAATATTGGCTCAGCACAGACATGAACCGGATTAAAAAAGTAGGTTTCACCACCTCTCCATGTTTTGCAACCCTTTCATAACGGTTATTAAATTTAAAAATAAATTCATTAAATTAAGGTAAAATATTAACTTGATTTTACTTAATGCTGATCACAACAAGAAAATCTCTTCTTTAAAGCGTTGCAATACCATAAATGAAGTTTCTTATTATTTTTTTGTATACAATTATATTTGTTACATTTAATTTCAAAACAGTACACTTTGTAAATAACGCCACAACAAAACACACCAAAGACTACGAAGCAAAAACAAAAGAATAAACCACGAAATGGAGTCGGAAAATTCCTACGAACAGCAGGAGGAGGAGGAAAGCGATGAGAGCTCCAGCAGCGTCGCCGTCAACTTCACTGGCTACGATGAGATCCATATTAAGCATGAGGCCGAGAAAACCATATGCATAATGCCTCCGCGTCCAGGAACGGCCGTGATGAACTTCCAGGAGCTGCATATCCCAAGGAACCAGCTAACCGACGTCTTCTATCACATCCAAGAGGCTCAGCGCTGGTTGACACTCATTGACAAGATGGGCAAACCGCATCGATTCCCATTGCCCACGATTCTGCCAAAGGTTATCCAGACCCGGTACGTGCCCAAACGCCACCTGCCTAAGGATGTGGAGGTGGACCGACGTCGGCGCCAGTATCAGAAGATCAATTTGGTGGAGGAGCTGGCCAAGGCGGGACTCACCAATGATATTTTGTCGCCCACGGAGGAGCAGTATAATGTGATGTCCGAGTTCGCCTTTCCCCACAAGTTTCCCCTGAGCTACTTTGATGACAGCAACTTTGATATTAACTCGCCGAAAGCTTGGTTTGATCTCGGCGTCGTCGGAGACACTAACTATCCGCTGCCAGCGAAGGCCTTCCTGCCCTTCAATCAGAGTTTGGTGAACTGTCAGTGGGTTATGGCTGCGGTTACCGCCCACAATGCAGATACGGATCTTTGGACGTTGCTCTCCCTGGAGGACGGGTGCACCTACACGGTACCGAAGCTCCAGTTCATGTTCATGGCCGAGGATCCCTACAAGTATATAAATCGCATCCAGGCTGCGGTTCATGAACGCCACAAGGGAGAACAACTTATGCTTATGGAGCTGATAGTCGACTGTGTCCTGCACGAGGACATTGAATCCACGGTCTTTTACAGCTTCAAGCCTATCGAAAGAGTGCTGCAGGCGGCCACGGTATCGGAGCAGTGCAAGAGACGCCTGCGCTCGGAGGTCAACTTGGTGTTTGAGCGCCTGATGGCCCTCTACGAACTGGAGCAGTTTATCCTGAAAATGCCCAAGGAGTTCCCGCAGTTCCGAAATATAGACCTCAAGGAGTTTTTGCCACGCTCTTTCACCGTCGACTTGTCTGGCAAGGAGCGCGAAGAGCTGCAAGCCCTGGGAATTCCTATGCCGGAAAAACGTTATGACTTCCTCAAGGCGAGCCTCTTTTACTGCCTGGGCGGGATTGAGGCCATGGCCGGGGTGAACTGCGAGTGTCAGTATATCGAAACGCTTTCCATTTTCATCTGTACGTTCAGTAAGCCTTTGGCCCTAGTTGACTTCCTGCAGGCGCAGGAGGCGCATAGCGACAACGTGGCCACTTTCCTAAAGTTTAACTGGCCGCAACAGCTCACCGGCTGCATAACGGTGGTGCTGCGGGCCCTGGGCAAGGGATGGCTGGATATATCACTGAACAACTGGACAGTCTATCTGATGTGCAAAATCTCAAGGTTCATATTGCAGGTCAAGTTCCGGATGCAAGAGTCCATGCAGGTGCTCCTCGAGACCTCGCTGCTCAACTTTTCGCACTTGGTGTGCGATCCCTGCTTGCAGTTTCTGCACCTGAAGCCCGACTACAAATGGACCAACAACTACATCGATACTGAATTTCCCTACCATAAGCCGGTGTTTGCCATGACTTTGGGCATAAACGAGGATCGTAAGGTGTTCTACTCCACCGATCCGGATGAGTTTCAGCCCGCATTAATGGACATCTTCAAGAGATGCCTGGAAAAGACGTCCGGTGTCAAGTTAATCGACTCGTTTGTTATGAGCTTCCTTAAATACGCCCCCAATTTGTATATCCTGACGGTCGAGCTTATAGAAGACATGTTCCTGGTCGAGAATGACCTGATGATGAGGTGCTACGCGAAGGCTGTGCTGCCACTGAAGGCCTATGCCCGGCTCTACGAAAGATTCATTAACTTTTACCTGTTGAACATTAACCAGTATATGGCAGCTTATGCCGAGGCTCGCAAGCCCTCGTCCGAGGTAAAGTGGGACATACTGGAGCACAAGCGGCTGAAGGAGGAGGTCCGCGTCATCCTGCCGGCATTTATCACCATCGGGCCATTCTACATAAACGTGGACATACTGAAACAGTTTATGATCAAGAAACGCATTGAAATTGTGAGGAGAATCTTTGAGTACTACGTGGATCGGATGTATGAGACGAATGACAACATCTTGGAACGCTGCCAGGACATGTACAAGAAGATAAACGACAGACCCATGAGCATTGAGCACCTATTCGAGATTCGTGACTATGGCCTGGAGGTGCCGGATTTGGTGGAGGAGCTCAAGGCGGACATACAGGTCATGTGGCTGGAGTACGACCTGTTGGATAGCTTCTTCTACAACCTAAGTGACCACCAGTTCGTCATGAAGTGGAAGGCATTCGCCTGGCCGCACCAGATAATGGTGCGCCTGGCAACTCTCAAAGAGGAGCAGAAAATTGATATCGAAGAGTTCCTGCGACAGCATGGCAGCGAGTGCCAAGCGTTCGAGGAGCGCCTGGAATCACTGAACGATGAGGTGCAGGCCTACTCCTTGGCCTTCAACACGAATCGCGCTCAGGAGACATCTGTGGACATTAAGAAGACCTGGGCCCTGATCAAGGAGCTGGAAAAGGTCAGCCAGACCCTGCAATATCGCCAGGAACTGTTCGAACTGGAACCGCTTTCCGTGGAGTTTTTGGAGAGCATCATTGCAAGCTTTACCCCGTACAAAAATCTGTGGTATGCCTGTGCAAACTTCCTGAAGCTCCAGGATGCCACCGAGGGCAACCCCATTGCCCAGCTGGACCTTGAGGATATCTGGGTTAATCTTATGAAACTGCGCGACGAGCTCTCCGAATCCATGGAAATATTCCATGAGAAACTTGAGATTATGGAAGTCGCCCGTGTGTTTATTCAGAAAATCGATGATTTTGTGCCAGTGTACAACAGCATAAGGGATCTACGAAACGAAAACTGGATGTACATCCACTGGCAAGAGCTTAGCCAGGTGACGGGACAGGACATCAAGTACACGGTTTCGATGAACTATCAGTACCTGATACGAAAGGGAATTATGGACTTCCTGGCAGAGGTACACTTCATCTCGGAGAAGGCCAATAATGAGGCGGAAACAATACGGAGGAACATTGAGGAGGAGGAAAGGAGGAAGCAAGCCGAAATCGATGCCATTCTGTTGCGAAAGCAGCTGCGCAAGTGCCGCAGGGATATACTCTAATTGGTTTTTCTTTAATAAAATATAATGTTCAATAGAAGGTTTAAAAATTACTTTATAAATGTTTTATTAAATACTTTCTGAATAGGCCGACGAAAAATTAAAAAAGTGATATTAAATTTCTCTTGATTTGGCTTTATTTCTTCATTAAACTTTTAGATTTTCTGCACTTATTTATATTTTTCTCGTATATATGTATTTGGGAGAATAATTATTAATAATAATATTCATAAAAGTAACTGCTGTGGTTGTTAATTTTTGAATTATCGTTGCCAGACTTTTGAGTCTCGATTTTAGAAGCGCCAAAAAGTACCAGATCAAAAATATCGATAGTGCAAAAAATCGATGTTCTGATAGTGCTCCATTCCAAGCGTCAATCGAAAAAGCAACTGTCAAAATAAAATCGATCGTCCTATGTTCAACGTCTCGCAAAAACATAAAAATGGAGTTCCATAAGGCTCATAACTTTTCCAACTATAATCAAAATCTCAACGCCAACAGCGTTCAGAAGCTGTGCATTTGTGAGCGTAAGCGCAACGATCTGATTGTCTGCAGCCGCTGCAATCAATCCTTTGTGGGCCGCCTTTCGCAGCCCTGCCCAAAACATCCCGAAGTAAGTCTGTCCATACGTCCCCTTGTGCATAAATAATTAATTTGTACCCTTTGTTTAGGTAATTTTCCTAATGGACGCTCGTCAGTGTGCCCTTTGCGGTGCTCATTCCGCATTTTTGAAGGTGTCCAAACAATAAAAAAACAAACAATACAAGGGGAAGCTCCCTAATACTGCACAGCTTTCGTTGACGAAGCTGGGCTATAATATAATCTAGAGTTACATATGCACTATGTAAAAGTACAAGATCAATAAACATGACCAAACTTTTAACAGGAAATTTATTTGATTTTTATCTTATTTTTTATTAAAAATTGCCTTGTATGTATGTGTGTGCCGTTGTTGACAAGTTTCACGTTATGCAACACTGTCATTTACCGCTTGCTGCTTCGCGTGAAAAAAAAAAAATAGAAAACTACGCAGTTCGTTTGTATGTTTTTTAAGAATAAGAATTATTGCCTTTTATTTGTATCAAGTATCAACGCAAATAAACAAAATGGAGAACGTCTTGGGTGCCACAACAACAACAACCAAACGTAATTATGAGCTTAACTTGAAATACAAAGACAACAAAACAGCGTATTTATTTACTTAGCAACAGCTGATATCGCCCGTGGCGCCGATCCCAGAGCCATTGCCTCTTGCCTGAAGAAGTTCTACGGCTATCTGCTTGCTTCCAGCCCAAGAGATGTCAAGACAAACACATCCCAGAATAATAATGCCCCATGTCCCTTTCTAAATGAAGGCCATGTAGTCCGTGTCCTTGATGAAAACAACAATGTTTGTTTGCTGCCCGCACCGGAGTACCCGGGGCAGGATTAGGTGATCTTTTGGATGGACTTATGGAGCTTAATTCATTGAAGGTGTCAAAAAAATGAACAATGAACCACACTGCACAGCTTTCGTTGACGAAACTGTTACAATATGTTAACCAGAGTTACATATGTTTTATGTAAATGTTCCTAATAACTTCAATAAATATGGACAAACTTCAAACAGGCCTATCTTTTTTATTTAATATAATTATTTCTATTTAGAAATTAGTCGATTGTTGTTTGTAGGTATCGTTGAAGCCTTGACAATTTCCAGGTTATGCAATACTGTCATTTACCGTTTGCTGTGTCAAAAGGAAAAAAAAAATCCGGAAAGTTCGTTCCAGAAAAGCGTCGGCGTGTGTTTCAAAAATAATAATTGTCGCTTTTAATTTCTGTGTTAACTGTTTATACTGTTCGACATATCAAATATCAAGAAAATGGCAAGCGTCTCACCCAATACCAAACGTAAATATAAGCTTTATTAGAAAAACAAACAGCAAAACAGCGCATTTACATATTTATTTACCGACAGTTGCCTGTGGCACCGATCCCGGAGCCATCGTTTCCCGCCTGGAGACTGTCTACGGCAATCTGCATGCTTCCAGCCCAAGGGATGTTAAGACCTTAAACACATCCCAGAATAAAAGAGGTCCATGGAGCCATCGTGGCCTTGATAATAACAACAATATCTGCTCCCTGCCCAAGCCGGAGCTTCCTGGGCAGGTTGAGGAACAGCAAACAGAACAGCAGGAGCAGAAGATCAAGTATGAGCTTCCATCTGGTTACCAGGGCACAAAAATCTGCTCCTGTCTTCGTCCGCCGCGGGCCTATGAATGTGGTGTTTGCCACCATTATTTCCAAGGTCGTCTCTCGCAGATTTGCGAGAAGCATCCATCGGTAAGAGAGGCGCTTTGTAAAAATCTTAAAAACTACCTGTATTTCCCCATTTTGTAGGATGTGTTCCTCATGGACTTGCGCGAATGTCCATATTGCATGGCCCAATTGGAAATGATCAAGGAGTCGCCCATCAGCTGGGAGAACATTCGTAAATTCGAAGACGCTCCTCTGCCCTCGGACAGTGATATTTAAAACCGAGTTTGAGACTCGTGGAAGATATGCATTCTCACCTAAAAAAGTACATAAAATGTCATATGTAGATCAAAACATAACATAGATCCTAAGAAATGACTACTAATAACACGTTTGTTCACCTAATTCGTTGCTTTTAATGTTAAAATGGACTGAAGTGTGGTGCCTGGCAGTGTATATTTAGCTTACGACTCCCTTTTTAAGCACGACATTTATGGAGTGCGTTCGTATTATAAGCTGCCAGAAAGAAACTGCGGCACGGACATGACCCACATAAACCCTTATGGCCTTCGAGGGCGGCACAGTTAAGTAGTTAAGTAAGTGCATCCAAGAAAAGAGCTTGCTCATACAGATATAGGCAAAGGGTTAGTGTTTTTGTTAAGGAATTTATAACCATTTCCGTTTCAATAAAACCTAATAATGTAAGGTTAAGAATTTAGTCTCAATGTGTTATATATTTTGTGCCTGCAAATAATAAATCTTTCTTTATTACTTGCTTGTGAGACATCTTTAGCAGCTTCTATCCCCTAAAAGCGCTGCGTCATATCCGCTTAAGTATGTATATAATATTCTTATTTCCTGCTCTTGCATAAACTTATCTTGTCACCTCTTCATCTTGGCAGCATTGACTCCCCTCCCCCAGCATGGCCTCGATATCCGAAATCAGTGGACAAATTCATGTCACCGATAACAATTCAATCACTTAAGAGTTCAGCACTTTTCGGAATCGCTTTACAATGCCCCAAGCGAAGTCATCTCTCCCTGGACACATTGTGGTTCCATCCTGACTCCTTCGGTCTCTGGCCAACTCTCCTGCTGGTAAGTGCAGACGCTTTAGATTGCATTTGCCTCTACTTATTTTATATATATATATATGTTTTTCTCACTTTTTTTCTTGAGACTTCCTGAGCTGCTGCAGTTTCTCAACAACTTGGCAAGCCATTCAATGGGATTCACTTCTCCGACTTCTGCCTTAGAGTTCTTGGGTATGTGGATCAGTATGATGGTGCTTCAACAGGCGCCAGGTCGTGGTAAATCAATTGCTGCAGTGGCTAAAATGGGGCAATGCGAGTAGTTGGTTGCTTTTAATGCCAGCTTAGGACTTTATTTTGCTAGCATAACTTATAATGATTTGTAAAAGGAGGTCAACCTGGTTTCGTATTAAAGGAATGACTTTAAAGTTTAAACTCTTTCTAGAGCCTTTGTTATTGAAGAACAATCTTATTTCTTTGTGAAAGCTTTGCTCTTGCTTAACTTGTTAATGCTTAACTATAGATCGTCATTTCAATGGCTACATAAACAACATCTCTCTCTGGTGGCACTTCCTTTCTTACCCTGCGTGGCCATCATCCGGCATGGGCTTCCCCATTTCAACCCGTTTCAAAAACAGCTCCGGCTCTAGCTTCGTTGACAGCAGCAGCAAGAGGATTCCGACCCGGTTTGTGTTTCCATTGCCCAGTTGTCCTCCTCCTAACAGTTTTGTGTGAGTGTCTTTTGCCTCCAGGCGCACTTTGGAATAACTTGGACAATTGCTTTCATGCTGATTTCGTTTCGTTTCGCTAAGGCCCCCTCACTAAACCTATGTAGTAGTTACTTTTAAACTCGGTTAAAGTTTTCCTCCAAGTTTTGGGCATGCATAAGCAGGACAATTTTAAGGATGCAAAAGTCTAAAAATATTCCAATTAGGGTTACAGTGTTTGTAGCTAGTAATTGTCACAAATTAAGACAAAACAAATGCAAATAAATTAGATACACACAATAACTATTTAAAAGCAAGCTTAAGCTTAGAAATCATATATCCATATTTTAAAAACAATATTCAAATTATCTGCTTAGTCGAATCTTTGCATTCCTCTGCTTAAATGCTTGAAAGCTTGTCCTTAAATTGCATGGTTACACCCTTTGTGTGACTCCGGGATGCGACATAGACAAGGACAACGGCCTGGCTATTGTCCTCTGTGCCCTCCTTAACTGCTGCAGTTTGCCCTGCCCCTCTTTTCCTTATTGAAGTGTGCACTTCCGCTAAATGGTATTTGGAGCAAGCACATAAGCTCAAGCCCGCTCTCTAGAGGACTCCGCCCACTGCTCTTGCCAATAATAGCTCTGAATTTAAAGGCACTCGCAATTTTTATGGCAAACAATGAAAGCGACACCCCAGACTAGAGGAGGCCTTGGCCGGCAGTGGGAGATTTTCTTCCATTTGCATTCACATTGTGAGCTGTTTATTTAATGACGCCTCTAATAGAGTGACATAGTGTGATTCCTAAGCTAAGGCTAAACAAGGTTTCTTGAACATCTGTTGCCGTTCCTGTATCCATTTGGAAATAGCTGTTAGGATAGTTAGGTTTTTAATAAATTTAAGAAATTTGTATTTGTAAAACTTACTCCAACGGGAGCCCTTCACCACAGGACAAGCTGAATGTTCGCTCAGAGGCTCGGGATTTCCAGCATGGTCCAGATTAAACCAGATCAAAGCGTTGCCCTTTTTGGGTTTTACGGCAATTTTTAGTTTGGTAAAAACTGTGCTTCCGCCCAAGGGAACATCTGTGGCCTAAATATAAGTAAAAAAAAATAATGTTAATTTCTCTAAAATACTGAAAAGAAAATGCACACTTACATATAGCAAAGCTGTTGCTAGGCGATCACCCCCCAGGTCACTAAAATTTGCCTATAAGGAACCAAATTTTGAAATAAAAAATAATTTTCAAAATATTTGTACTCACAGGTCGCTTTGCCAAGTCCACATAATCCAAATGCTTACCAAAATGACCACCCAGACCATAATTGGTCAGGTGCAAGCCCATATTCTCTTGCATCTCCAGGCCAGTCATATCCCCAATGCGTCGATTAATGGCAAGTGTAAACGAGGCTGTTGTACCCTGAAAGGATATCATTTTTACCACTCTGTCCTGTCTTTGTGGCTTTCCCTTTCGGTCAAAGTTCACATATGTCCAGCCATCGGTCATGGTGGCATTGAAAATGGCTATATCTCGCATAGCCTTAAATTCCTTGTCATATAAAACATCATGATAGAGCAGAATCAAGGGTTTCATATTTAGAAACTCCAATTTAAGAGGTGCTAGCTTAAGGAAAGCTGATGTATCTCTATTGTAACGACACACCAGCTCGGAGGAAATTCGCTTTGGCCACTCGCCACGGCAACCTAGCTCAAGATTCGTTGGCTTACGCTTATGTCTGGCCGCTTCTTCTTGAAAGATCTTCTCATCTCCAGTTAGATATTCATCAATTAAGCTTTTTATGTTGTCATAATTGTCTTTTTTAACTATTTGCTTGGCCAAAGCATCCCATTGGGCCCTCTCAGCGGCAGTGGGTTTACCTTTGTCCAAGGTTATGGCTGAAAATGATTACATTTTACAGAAAAAAATGAAGACATTAAATATAATTTGAACTTACATTCTTTAAGCATAGCCTGAGCATATTTTTTGTAGATTTTCTTCCTATTTAAACCCAATACCCTTTCATATAATTTTCCTTGGGGATTCTTATGAAGTCTTAGGGCCATGCGATACCAATGGGTGGAATCAGTGAAACGGCTTTGATTATAATGGAAATCAGCTAGGGAAATGCAGTCAGGAGACGTTAGAAAAGAGCTGGAAAGAAATTCTTTTAACTTTATATATATTAAAGATTTTTATAATTTCGTCAACCCACTTGAATTTCTTATCCAACAAAAAACCCTTGGTTAAATCCTCTGCTTGTTGATTGTAAAATTGTTCAATACGCGTCATACCTTTGAGGGCCACGTTAAGATCATCATGGCTAGGTGCAGACTTCAAATGTTTTTGCATTGCCTTGGTATTATTTGGAGCTATGGCTATTTTCATATATTTAAGCCACTTGGGCCAGTCTTGATTGAGGCGTCTGAGCAAAGGAAAAGCATTCAAGGGATTAGCCATATATTCTTCTTTTTTCTCTAGAGTTGTAAGCTTGGGTTCCTTTTTTGTTGAATCTATAAATCTAAAGAAAATGATCTTAATTAATCTTTATTAACATGGCTTATTTACTAGACTTACAATTTAATTATGTCCAACTTGGCTTGCATTTCCCGAACATATATATCCACGTTTTCCTTTAGAGATTCTTCCAGATCTAAAAGCTTAACCATGCTCATCACAGAAGTGCTGTATATCATTTGATCTTCGACCTTTTCGGTTTCTGCATTGCAGAGGCATTGCGGAAGGAATATTGATAAAAGGTAGAGCTTAAAAGTAAACCACTTCATCGTAGCTTAGCTATACAACTGAACTCTTTTTAGTCAAGAAAGTGTAATACTTCATGGGGTTTTAGTTACGGTTTTCTTGTTAGCAATAGAGAAAAGGAAGTAACTGTTTCACTTGCTAATTTATTTATCAGCGTAAAAATGGTTTCTATATTATAAATTCTTATTTAGTTTATTATCTATTAGTTGAAAGAAGAAATTTAAATAATACAGCAGAAGTTAGGGAATCTTTATACAAAACTCTGACCTTATAGATTACATAATAATTGTCAAATGTTTTTCACTTTATTTTAATTTTAAATAAGACATGGAGCTTTAAACATTTGCGGAAACAAATGGATCCACATGGTGAGAGCTGAAAAATATAAATAAAAATGTTAAAAATCTGAATAAAAATATTAATATTTCTATTAAACCTACTCCATCTATCGCCCTGGATAACAGGACACACAGAGTGTTTGCTTCTGGTATCAGATGTTCCATTATTGTATAAATTATACCACCAAATAGCGCTGCCTATTCGTGGGAATATTGAGATTTTTAGTTCCGGAAACACAGTGGCACCGCCCTGAGCCACATCACTAGCCTGTGAAAAAATTAAAAATAAATATAATTTTAATAACTATATAAAAATAAGAAATTTTAAAATGATTTCCTCTACTCACATAAAACAGAACGCTGACCAAACGATCGCCCAAAGTAGAGACCTCAGGCGTTTGAAATCCATCAGAAGTGTAGTCGAAATGTGGCTTAAAATATGTGCCCAATCCATAGTTTGCAACCTGTATCTTCTCCGTTATTGAGATATTGAGTCCAGTCATATCAATAATGCGCTGGTTAATGCGTTCCCTGATTGGCGATTCCTCAGACCACCACACATGTCGAGCCACTATATCTCTGATTATAGATCCATTCTTTTCATCGGCAAAACCGTTGCTAAAGCCATCCGACTGTCCCTTTAGGACCTCAATCTCAGAATCGTAGAGAACATCGTGGTACATGACTATATAGGGATTTCGACTGACTTCCTCCATTTTCAGCGGTGCCAATCGCAGGAATGGTGTCGTGGTGTGATTGTAGCTACATGTGAGTCGCGATTTTGACTGAAATTCTCCATGACAACCCTTTTCAAAGTCAGTAGAAGGTCTTTGTGTTTCGTATAGCTGCTTTTCCAGTTCAATGTCATTCTCGGGCTTTGTAAGTTTTAAATAAAATTCATCTATATCCACATTACCGATATCTGCAAACTTTTTCTCCACCTTGGCTAAAGCCTCGTCATTATTCTGCGAGTCGCCAGAAAATACGGAGGCTGAAATTGTGATGAGTGATTAAGGGGATTATACGATTTAGGATATAGAATTTACCATAAACAAATAAAGCTTTGAGGTATTGAAGTTTTAGAATATCGGTTGGATCCCCCAGAATCTTATTCAATATTTTATTGTCCTCTTTGGGCTCAAGTTTTGAGGCCATACGATACCATTTGGCAGCTGCTAGGAAATCGCCTTGTTTAAACATCAGATGGCCCATAGCTAGGCGGTCGCGAAAGGTGAAGCGAATACTAAAGATCACAAAATAAAACGAATTTTTTAATATAAATTAATTACAAAAATTCAGTTTTACCTGTATTGCTTGTCCTGCAGAATTCCTTTTGCTAAATCATCGATCCTAAGGTCATAAATCCTTTCTATACGTTGAATTCCGAGTGCAGCCTCTAAAAAGTCTTGGCTATCAGGTATATAGGCCACAAGTTCATCTAATACCACCTTATTTGCTGTTTAAAATATGTGATTATTACAATATTTTGTATATAATAGAAACATATTCAGATGAATTAAAAAAATCACTTACTCAATTCCATTTCTTTTTGAAACTGCTTGTTCCACTTGGGTAAATCCTCATGTGTTCGTCTTACAAGTGAAAAGGCAGACAAAGGATTGGAAACATATTCCAGTCTCTCTTCTGGGCTTTGATTCTTTTTATAATCAATAGAAAAAAGGTAACTACAAAGGGCAATGGGGTTATTTAAGGCTCTAAAACTTTTTTAATGTGAAATATCAGAAAATTCTTACGCTTTTATAGTTTCACTCTCTTCATTTGCTATGAGGTTTTCCACAAATTTTTGCTCTAATTTTAGCAGCTTTAAAAGTCCTACTGTAGATGAGCTATATCGTTCCTTGCCCTCATCGTAGCCTTCATCTTCAATGGCAGCTACAAAGAAATAGCCTAAGCTAAAAAGAAAAGCTAGTACGCTCAGCCACCGATTCATTTCAACTAAAGATTCTCACAAAAGATTTTAATATCATATATACAGAGGTAATAATTAGGCATGGTCTTACTTCCTATAATTAATTCGACACATGTTTTGGTAAATATATTTTCTTTTTATTTTTTAGATGTTTAACAACCATTTTTATTACAATATCTGTGCTGTTTGAATCTTAAAGATACTTATTTTGTGTTTAAACTTTTTCAACTTTTTGTCCTTTGTGTACACTGACTATTTATCTCTTTTATCCATTTCGTAAAAACTAAAAAGAAAAGAGTTTAAAAGTAATAAATAATTATGTATTTGAAATAACATATCGGCAGAAAAATGCCTATAAAAATATTAATTTAAATTTATTTTTTTATATTTTCTGTAGGTAAAAGTTGTATAAAAAAAGTTGTTAATATTCCACTTACCCCATTTTTTTCCTTTTATAACCGGACATTCAGCTTGTACACTGCGAATATCTGGGGTGCCATCGTCTAACAGATTATACCAAAACAAACTGTTTCCTTTTTGGGGAAACACTGATACTTTTGACTTTGTAAAAACAGTAGCACCACCTTGCACTACATCAGAAGCCTGCGAATAAAGTTATATAAAGCAAATATTATTTAAGCATATTTTACCTTTACTTACAAAAAACAGTAAGGTGGCTTTTGGTCCGCCCCAGTATGCATAATTTCGATTGGGATTGTAGTACGAGATACGATCATAATCGGGCATATGCAGCTCGTGATTAATGTGAAATCCAAGGCCAATTATGTCAGTAATGCGGTTAACTATTCTCTTTCGAAGGGACTTTAATCTTAACCGATTGTCTTTCGTGGCTGTGATCTTATCCTTGGCGTGTAGTTTAAGCTCAGCGATCTCATCGTTATAGAGCACTTTGTGATGCATTACAATGTAGGGATCCAAGCTTATTATTTCCTGTTTCATGGGTGCTATCCTTAGAAATAGAGTTGTGCTGAAATCGTACCTACAATAAAGGTTTTTTCGCTTGGGCAACAGGCCACGACATCCCAGTTCGTAGTCAGAGGGAGCTGTTGCATTAGTATTCATTTCCCTAACAACATCCTCATCACTTTGTGTTAGTAACTCGGCTATAAAGCTATTCAGGTCATCCAGGCTAGATTTGGCCAATGCTTCGGAGGCCAATTGTTTAGATTTGGCAATTGTGAGCTTTGTATTGGATATTGTTAGGCCTGAGAGGTGACACAGCTTATTAAAAAGCAGCTGTGAAAGGCACAAAACTTACCAAATATAATCATTGATGTGGCATACTGGCTTCGCAATTTATCGTTAATGTCTCCTAAGATTTCGTTGATTTTATTAGAATTCTTTTCAGGTTCCTGTTTGAGGGCCATGCGAAACCACAAGGCGGCCCTTTGATAGTCCTCTTGTTGATATTTGTGCTCACCCAAAGCAAAGCAATCCCGGGCAGACATCTTGATACTGTAACAAAATAAGACTTTACATTGGTTTAATTGAAAACTTTGGGTATAATAACTCGTATTTCTTGTCTTGTAAACGACCCCTGGCCAAGTCTGTGGCCTCCAGACCGTAAATCTTTTCCAAACGATGCATTTCCTGCAGGTAGTAATTCATATCCTCCTCATCGGGAGCCTGTACAGCGATTTCCTCCAAGGCATAAAGTTCCACTTTCAAAAAAATATGATAATTTTAATCCTAATAACAAATTAATGAAGATTCTTACCCATTCCCACCTTTTGTTGAGTGTAATTGTGCCACTTGGGCAAGTCCTCATGTGTTCTTCTCACTAAACTAAAGGCATTCAAGGGATTACTCACATATTTCTCGCGATCTTCAAAAGTTTGATTGACTTTATAATCAATCGAGTTGATAAATCTGTTCTTAAAAAGGTGCTTTTATTATTTTAACTTTCTTTAAAAATCTGAGAATTCTTACGCTTGTAGATTTTCAACTTTCTCGGCCAGTTTATTTGTATAAATTTTCACATTCTCCATGAATCTCTCTTCCAATTCTAATAACTTAAGAAGACCTGCATTTGAGGAGCTATAAAGTTGTTGCTCTTTATTGTTTAAAGGATCTTTTATATTTTTTGCAATTATTTGTCTCCATAAAAGAAGAACTATGAGTAATCGGTTCAAGCTTAGCATTTTGACTGAGACTTGAACACACGAGTAAGTGAAAAAATAAACCAAATTCGTTAGGGTTATAGCGTGGATAATGCAATTTGGAAACTTTATTTGAAGATAAGAAAATATTTCAAGCGTTGAGGGTTATATTTTGGACTTTTGGATGGCAAGGCTTAATAAAAATTTGGGGTATATAGTGCAGCCATTTGGTCACCGCTAAAAAAGAGTTATAAAGGGGATTTCAATTAAAAATATAATATAATATTAATATAGTACTTACTCCATCTTGAGCCGACTATGACTGGGCAAACAGAGTGCAGGGATCTTGGATCTGGTCTAGCATCATCAAAAGTATTAAACCAGAACAGACTGTTGCCCTTTTTGGGCTCCACAGCCACCTCAATTTCGGGAAACAATGTTTGCCCACCTTGAGATAAATCTCCAGCCTTTCAAGGATATTAAATTATCTGAATATAAAATGGATACATTATATTTTTTTTTAAATACTTACATAAATAATTAAACTTCCAATTCGATCGCCCAATGGATTATTTGGCTCAATTTCCAAAATCCTTTCAGTAAAATAGTCATGATGAGGCTTAAAATACCCACCCACCCCAAAATTGGCCAGCTGGAGGGCCGGGAACTCCCTCACATCGAAACCCGTCATGTCAGTTATGCGGTTATTGATTCGCTTTCTGATGGCCGACTCCTCTCTTGTCCAGTAGACACGATCCACCACTTCATATCTATCCGCCCAGCCATTACCCATTTCTTCTTTAATTTCGCCTTTCAAGTCTGCGATTTCCTTGTTCGAGATCACATCGTGGTACATTACCATATATGGATCAAGGCTTAGTTCCTCCATTTTCAGGGGGGCCAATTTCAAAAATGGCGTCGTAGTGGAGTTGTAGCGGCAGACAAGGCCATTGCTCCGTTTGGGGAAGAGGCCACGGCATCCAATATTATGGGCAGTGTTTGTGGTTGTGGAATTTTCCATATCCCATTTTCTTAGCTGGGAACTGATAAATTCTTCCATAGGTGTCTGGAATTTTTGGTTTAATAATTGCTGAAGTGTTTCGTTTTCTAACGATTGATTTGATAAGGAAAAAGCTTAGAAAAATTATGAAAAATATAATATTAGATATATTATATTTATATTTTTTGTTGACTTACTGCGCTGTACAACCGTTCTCACAAAGGTTTCAAAGGCGTTCTCTTCGTTCTCATCATTGCCAACAGCTTTGTGCTCTAAAGCTGCCTTAAACCACTTTAGAGATCGTTGATAATCTCCAGATTCAAATTTATGTAGAGCCAACACCAAACATTCCCTGGCAGTGAGTTTATAGCTGCAACAAGAAACACAATACAATTTTTTAATATTTTTAAAAATATCTTATATATATATATATATCTTAAATTTAATATATTTTTCATAATTACTTAAATTGTTGACTTTGTAGCAGTCCATTAGCAATATCTCTTGGTTGAAGATCATAAGTGGTCTCAATGCGATGCATTCCCTTTAGGGTCTCGTTCAAATCGTGGTCATCAGGAGCTTTGGTCAGCATCTCTTTCATAGCATTTAAGTGCTTTAAACCCACTGATTTCTTGATATAATTTTGCAATTTTGGCCAGTCTTGGTTGAGACGTCGAATTAGGCTAAAGGCATTCAACGGTTGAGAGACAAATGTCTCCCTCTCCTCGTGAGTCGTATACCTGGGACGCTTTAAGGCATCAAGGTAACTAAGAAATGTATTTTGAGTATTAACTTATAAATTTTGATTTGTTCTTAATTAAAATTATGATATTTTTCCCTAGTTATTATCAAATTCTTACCTCTTCAGGTTATTTGCCTTTTCCTGCAAGGCATCAGCATAGAGGGTAAAGTTTTCCATAAACTCTCGCTCCAGTTCGAAAACCTTTATCAATCCCAGAACGGAAGTACTGTAGTATTCCTTATTAGGATCAAATGGTTCTTCATTTTCCACATTTGTATCTGGTTTTGCTGGCAAAGCAAAAAGAAAAATGAGTGTCAAGGCTTTTAGCATGGCACCCATGAACGTTTCTAAGAGAGTGTAAATAAAAAAATAAAATTATAAACCAGATTCGTAGTTTAAATTATTTATTTAACGCTTATGATTTCATGCTTTAAGCAGGTGTTTCTGTAGTAAATTAAGGAGACATCTCGAAAAATATATATTAAAAAATGTTATTTTAAACATAAAACCCATTCCATCTTGATCTCATAAAGAAAACTGTTGTGGTTGATCATTTTCGCCAAAGAACTTTTGCTCAAAAGCTTCCTTATGAAATTCGGGCACTGGCTTAAGCTTCAAAGGACAACGTCGTATAAACATTTGTGGCTTTTCTCGTAACCATTTAGTGGCCACTAAACAAAAATAAAATTAAAAATTATATATTTAAAAATCTATTTAAATAAGTATAACTCGTTAACTTACGCCACTTATCACCCATCAAAATCGGGCAGGATATATGCTCTACTCGCCAGTCAATAGATCCATTCAATAAAAGATTGTCCCAAACCAACAAGGACCCTTTTTGAGTATGAACTCGTAGGTCTAAGTGGGGAAACAGTGTTTCACCGCCCTGAGCCACATCGCTTAGCTGGAAATTAAATTAAATAATAAAATTAAAAAGAAAACCCCTTTCTATATAATCTCACGTAAAACAGCGCCGTGATAACCCGATTTCCCGAATTCCAAAATTCACTTGAAAGGTTAAAGGAGGCATCCTGGTGCTCGTAGAGATGTCCCCCAATGCCATAGTTGGTAAGCTGCAACTCCTCAGACTCCAATACACTCAAGCCTGTGGCATCCGTAATGCGTTGATTTAAATTCTTTAAAAGTTTTTCATTAACATTTTCCTGGAGGCGCATTGTTTTGCAAGTGCGTAGATTGGAGAAATCCTTTACCAGCGTATTATCTTCTGTAACAAACTGACTGCGCTTTAGGTGTGCACTTGATAGATTCTTGAGCACTGAGATTTCTTTCTCATTTATGAGATTGTGGTACATATTTATGGGTGGTTCGAGATTCAATTCCTCTACTTGTATGGGAGCAAGTTTTAAGAATGGTGATGACTTTAGGTAACGACAATGCAGATTGTGTTTATCGGGATATTGCATGCGGCAAGCCGGTTTATATTTATATTTGTTCTTTGGCTCTGCAGGTTTAAGAACCTCCGGTTGCATACTCAAGTTCTTGAGTCTCGTAATTTGTTCCTGCCAATAGCAGTTAGATTTAGCTCTTTCGGCATATCCCAAAGCTGCTTTATAACGACCGGAACTCTGGGATGCCTTCATGAGTAGCTTTAAAATCAAATCACGATTCCAGCCAAATATTTCAAATAGTTTCGGGTTTTTGAAGTACCTTTCGAGGGCCAACTGAAACCAGCGTTCTGCACCTTGGAACTTTTCATCCAGATAGAAAACATAGCCCACCATCAGGCATTCTAGTGAACTCCAGGGCTTGGTTCTACAAAAATAATAATAATTTTTATATTTATTATAAAATTTGTAATACATTATTAACTGCAACCCACCTGTATTGTCGTTCTCCCAGCAAACCATTGGCCATTTCGGTATGTTCCAATCTATAAGTTGACTGCAAGCGATTTATGGCATACAGACCTTCGTAATAATCAATTTTTGAAGCCATTTTTGGTCGTAAACTCTGGGATATAGCTATTTCCTTAATGGCAGGGTTTTCTTTTAAGATTTCTACCCACTTTTTTAAATCAAAATGCAAAAGTCGAGTTAGTTTAAATTTGTCAAAGATGCTTGTAGAGTTTGTGGACTTTTTTAGACATTTCACTTGATCGATGGCTCTGAAATGTATTAGTTTTTAAAAGATTTAAGTTTTTTTTAAAAAGATTTACAAAATATACTTACAATTTGATATACATTAATCGGTTTTTTAAGGATATGGCATAATTTTTCAGATTCCCAACAGCCTTTTCTTTTAATTGCAACAAAGGCAACATGTGTACTTGGGCTAAGGCATAGTCATGGGATTCTGGTTCAAGGCTAAAACTGATTTGTATATTTAGTAATACTATAAAAACACAGATATTTAACATGGTAGGTTAACTAAAATAAACTAAATAGGAATAACTAGCTAGCCTAACTATTTGTTCCTTGACTAAAGACATTATTAATTGTTAAATGTACCATACAAAATCCATTACTACAATGGAAAAAAGGTTTACCAAGTCTGGGATTCACTTTGAGTTAGAAACCTGTAGCAATGGTTAATTTAAGGCAACTGTTTTTAATTTTCATGGCTAATTTTGGCCTGCAAATTAAGGCCGAGTTAAGTAATTGGCCAGATCCTTATAACGTTGCTATATCCTCGGTTGCTCAACTGTCATTGTTAAAGCTAAAAGAGCAACAAGTAAACAATCTTTACAATTATAAAGAGGAATTGAAGATGCACTTAAAACAGGTTCTGCTGTAAGTAGAATATTTTTATTTTATTATTGTTATTAATATTTTATTATTTTTAATTTACTTACAGAGCTGTGAAACATTCAAGGCAACTGTTAAAAACAGCTTCGCAATATCCCAACAACCTGTTGATTGGCTTTAAATTATTGCGACATTTACATAATGATTGGCCTGAATATTTAAAGTTTATGAATATTAAATTAGGCACAAAAGAGATGGAATTTTCACAAAAACAATTAAGGGTTCTGCCAACGTCAGATGACTTTACGGATGCCTTGACGGCAATCTACAGACTTCAAACTGTATATGACTTGGATGCAGCTGATATGGTTAGAGGAATATTGGATGGAAAAGAATACAAGTAAGCGTTATAGATTTATTAAGTTATATTATAATGTTTTTAAACCATTTTAAGGGTAAAACCTTGGGGTACCGATGAGTGCTTAATTTTTGGTCTGATGTATCAAACTGTGAAGCTTTACAACCTATCGGAGAATTGGCTACAGCTAGCTCTATTTTACTACAGTGAATATTCCCATGAAAAGCAGATTGACGTTACGCTTTGGAAATATCATAACATGTTGGAATATATGGTAGAGGCTCACAAAGGAATGGGTAAGAGAATATATTGATGTATCGATTCAATATTCAATATTTATGCTAGAACTAGTTGGGAATTATAGTGTCCAGCGAGTGATTATTTTTTTAAATTTATTAATTTTTTATTTTTAATTGAAGGCAACTACTTAGAAGCTAAACAATATGCCCTTGAGTTCCTTGCCATTCAGCCCAATAATTCTTACATGCTAAGCCAACTGCCCAAGCTTGATTATCTGCATGAAAATCCCATCGATATCACACAAGTTGATAAAGACTTTCAGCATCAGAAAACACTTTGTACTAAAAAGTATAAGAAAAACTCAAATGACCTTCTATGTTACTATGCAAACTGGTCGCCTTTCCTACTCCTGGCACCTATCAAAGTGGAGCAATTGTCCAGGGAAATATACCTCAATATATACCCCGATTTCATCAGTGAAAAAGAAATCGACATACTAAAAACCACTTCCAAAGATAAACTTCAACGCATCGAGGGTCTATCGTGGAACTGCAGTTGTACAGTGGCAGAGTTATCAAACGATATTGTACGCAACATTAATCAAAGAATTATGGATATAACCGGAATGAAATTGGATAATAATAATGTGCTGCAAGTCATAAATTATGGCATGGCGGGAAATTACAATCCAGATGACACTGAAAAATCATCAAATGATCATAAAGGAAATGTGTTAATATATGTAAGAATATTTTTAATGAAAAAGGAATTTTTAAGAGGTTTTAATAATTTTAATTTTAGCTAAGCGATGCTGAGCAAGGTGGAGAAACTGTTTTCGACTCTTTGGAATTAAAAATTAAACCTATCAAGGGTTCTATGCTGATTTGGGGAAACCAAAAAGGCACTGTTTTCCATCATCAGTGCCCTCTTTTGAAGGGTAATATGTGGTGTAAGTTCATTGTATTTTTATATTATTTTTCTTATAACATTATTGTTTTATTACAGTGGCCTCAAAAAGGTTGAAATAAGCTTTTTTAGGGTTTATTTGATGGTCGTAAATATCTTATTTCCCTTTAAACTTGATGATTTATTTATTAAAAACGTGTGTTTACAAATAAAATTGAATATTTAAATGGAAAACTAAAGATTGTTACACTAAAAAGTAAATAAAATACCTTCAAAATTATTTACTTAACCAAAAGTAAATGAAATTGTGTTCTAAATAATAAAACCCGATTTTATGTATTTAAATTCATATTAAATCTTTCACATTTATATTTCATAAGAGTGTCTAAACGGTGTATTTCATTTTTATCAGCCTTCCCAATCGCCGCGTCAGTTGCTTTTTATGTTATTTTATCTTGATTGCCTTTCGGCTTGATATATATTATTCCTAAAACAAACATGTGCTCCTGCACAAACTTTTAATGTGTCTACCATAAACAATTCGAATGGATCGAATGCCATACATTTTCGACTGAATTATAATGACGACGCGACACTTAAACCATAAAAATGGCAAAATTTACACTTGCCCCTTTTGTGTCCAACTGGATGGATGGAATTTATACAACCTCAGTGGCTGTGTCTCAGTCTCGGATTCCGAATCGGATTCGGGGGCCACAGCTGGTTGCGTTTGTCTTGCGATATGTCTGTCCCGATTTTCGTTGCAATCAATTCCTCTTGGATAAACAAATCACTTAAGGGTCCCCGGTCTCCGGTCCGCCTGTCTGAGCCGAGATGAGCTGAAATATGACTGCCAGACGACGGCCATGGCAAATCAAATGCACAAAGCATGTGATAATCGAATGCGGATTATAAGGCTCGAGTCGTACAATCTCTGGCATTAAAAAGCAATTTATGTTAATAACCTCAATTTCGGCATTAGTAGTCTCCTTGTCTTGTTTTTCGCGCAAAGATCCGAAAATTCCCATATTTCTGAATGCATGTTCTCAGTCGTTGTAATCCGTAGACGTAATCATAGCTAAGGCCTGGCCAAAAATTAATTTTCCTCTCTATCTTCTGATTGCCTCTGCCTTGTGTGTGCGCCTTTGAAATTTATTTTCGACATTTTCATTCATTCATACGCGTATTAAAATTTTGTACAATCTCGGTATAAAAGGGATTCCTTTATTTCCCCTATACCACAATTTATGTACATATATTCGTTGATTTGCGTCACTGCACGCAATCTGTATTCATGCCACTGAAGCTGAAGTATTCCGATGGTTGGCTGGATTCCATTGTCTATTTGACTTTTGTATACAAAAATGAGGAAGTTCTTCATTTTTACGACCAAAAGAGGATGCCATCAGTGATATGTGTAGTATGGGTGTTAATTATAAAATAAAGTGGGTTTGAAATAAATTAATAAAATGTATTTTAGTTATGTTTCATATTGTTAAAGAATATTTAAATAAAAGAGAATGTTTGCATGTGTAAATTCAATGAGTCTCTGGTATTTAGAAACAAAATTTTGATTGAATTTGGATTGTTAAATTATATAATAAATTGTTTTCAAAGAAAAAAATACCTGCATTTAAATAAAATGTTGTATTTATAACAAATTGAATCAATCTCTAAATATATATATTAAATTAAAAGTTAAAGCTTCGAATTTTTCAGTAACTCTGTTATATACTATATTCCTCTATACAAATCAATAAAATGTAAATCTTGTCTCGCACATTGTAAATTCACTTATTTAAACAGAAAGTCAAGCTTCAATTGTCATGTCATACACCCGCCCCATAAAAAACCAGACATAATAACCATTCGGAATTGAAGCTTTTCAAGGTTACACATTGGCCAAACTGCGTCGAGTCGCGATTGATGTTAAACCTTATCTTGTCACTCAGTCATCGGGAATCACATACAATTCACTTCACTGTCAGTCCATTGTTCCACTCGTGTCAGACAGAATAACCTGGTGGGATTGGTGGTAAATGATTATTTTTATATTAAAGGACGAGCAAAGCAAGAATTTTAGGAACACTCTGGAAAAAATGTAATCTAAATTAGAATTAAGACTTTTTATTTTAAATTAATTAAGAAAAAGTACTAATGAAGCTACTGATAATATAAGAAACAGCCTTTCGTTTCTCTTTGACTATATAGTTTTAAGTTTTTGGCCTAAACTTTAACTTAGATCTATATTCTGACTTTAAACCAGTCAACCCTTGAGTCCTCAAGAAGCTCTGTTCTTGGAAATATATTTTCTAAAATTTATTTTAATATCAAAGTTAAAGGAATCTTCTTGAAATATCTATAATTTTTTGTAGTGCATATATATCCCTATGTGCGGTGCCCATTTATTGTGTAGGAAAACTGTTTTCATTGTGTGTTACAATTGATTTCGATTTCGACTGTGGCTCTGCCCTCTGCCTTTGAATGGCAACTGAGTTACGAGAGTGTACAAATGGAAATAGAATGAAAATACTCGTCACATCGTCTGGGAGTTGCCACTACTTCTCTTATTTTCCATCTTAAGTCTGCATTTTGTGTGGCGCTTCATTTACTTTATGTCTTTTGTCTGCTCCTTACATGGTGTACATGGCTACAATTTGAATGAACAAGCTGCTGTATAGTCTTCTTCGTTCTTATTCTCTTGTTTTTTGTTTTCCTTTATTTGGTTGAGCTGCATTTTTATGGTTCTCCATCAAATGTTTCTGACTGTTCTATTATTTATTGTATGGCTACTTGATGAGCATTTTGCCGAAAACGTTTTATGGGCTCATGTCTTGCCAATTCCTGTGTAGGCCTCCTGGACTCTTTCATTGACTATCAATCATTTCGGAGCTCACTGGTAATAAAAATGTAGAAAATTAAGATGAAATTGGGAAGAAAATAGAATGGGAAACATATTTTAAAAATATAAATAATACACACTTTATATGGTTTATTGATTGATTTGATTTCCCAACTTTCTTTTCAATTTCTAACTTTGCCAAATATTTTCCAATTCGAATATCTCTTTTTTTCTCCTCTCTTACAGTTGTATACTTTCTCTCAGTGTTTCATTTCCAATGAAATGCCCATTTAATAACGTTCCTCGACATTTATGAAGTGTCTACAAAGAGTACAAGCCACCATTTCTCGACTAAATCCACTTGTCACAACCTGTTGGCCCATCGTTCATTGTACACTGGCTGCCCAAAATGGCGGAACTAATGTGCCGTCGTATTTGAATTATTATTACAACGCTTTTGGATTAGGGGCGTGACGGCTATAATGAGTCCACAGAGTCTAGCAGTCCAGCAAAAAAAAAAATGGCCATGGATAAAAATTGCACACGATTTATTAAGCGCCCAGCCAGTTTGACGAGGGGCGACATGTCATTTCGTTTTGTAATTTATAACCAAAACATAACCAAGAAAGAAAATCGATTTGCGATATACGATCTGACAGTCTCTCTCGGGAAATGGCTTTAAACTTAAAGCCTTCCATATTTCGCACTTGCTGTCCTTGCAATTGCCGTCTGGGCAATCAAACCCTGAGTTGACTCTGAGGGGTTTAGTTTTTTATGGATTGTACAGGGTTGTGAATGCTCTATCCCATTTGGTCTTGATTTACTTTATACTTTTAGTATTTATTTATGTTATTTAACTTGGTTTTTTACCTACATAATTCAAGTTATTTTATGGGGATTTTTTATAAATTACCCACTGGTTTTTATTCTTGTAAAAAGCTATTGTTATTAAATATATATTATTTTTAAAAATATAAAAATGGTCACAACATCAATGGACTCCTGCTTATATCCTAGCTTGTCCAGCTTGTTGTCCAACTTTTGCTGAACATCACCTCCTTTGAGCTCACTGAATTATGAATGCCTCTGGCCTCTTAAAGCGCATTCCAAGGCTCCTTGGTCTTGGACTTCTTGGCTCCCTGTTGAATTTTAAATGCGAACGCATTCCTGGAATGCTTGTTATGTGCCTCGTTGGTTACCCAATCGACATGGCTCGTCATCGTCGCTTTGGAGTACTTCCAGTCCAATTTGTCGGTGCCCTAGTCTGCGTCTGCCATTATGCCATGTGTGTGCACACACGCGCCGCTTTAATAATCCAATTTCCACGTGTTGACTTACGTGTTGTGACACTTGAGGTTGTCCCTGGGAGCCCTTGACTATAAAATCGGGGTTTTCTTTTAGATTCTTTCATAAATAGACTTGTAGGAAATTATTGTCAGGGGTTTTCTGGGAAATTTTGAATTGATTTTGAAGCCATTAAGGATTTTTAATAAGAGAAGCAATTCTAAAACAAATATCTATAATTTTTTAATGGTTATAGTTTCCAAGTTCCCACAATTAACCATGCACTTAAATTCCTATAACATACAATTCAATTAAAAGCAAGTGGATAACGTTTAACACAATAATATTCAATGGCCAATTCCTCGTTCGTTTTCGCTTGTTGGCGTCAAAACCGCTGGCTAATTAGCAAGTGGCCAAAAGAGGAATAGCCATTAGTTTTGACTTTTCCATCTGTCCATCCATCCGCTTTCGTATTTCCTTTTTTTTTGGCTCTTTGCCACGCAAAACAAAACCGCAATAAATGGCTTGCGGTGAAATGTGTGGTTGTGTGTGGCAAATCGCGAAAAAGTTTCTTGTTTGTCTTTGGCTTTTCTGTGCAAATTTTCACGTTTTTCCTTTTCCTTTCACTTCTATAAAACTTTAATAAAAATCTGCGAGAAAATCCCCCGAATTCTGCAGATTATTGTGAAAACAGCTTTCTGTCACTGAAGCTGTTATGTTTTTTGAAAGATTATTTATAGCTTAAGTTTAAAGCTTTAAAAGATTTAATTGGGTGTGAAAAATACAAGGATTTCAATTAGATCAGATTGATAATGCTTATTTAGGGTTTTAAGATGATTGTTAAAGTATTTTTATGTTTTCTTTAAATGTTTAATAATCATTTCTTAACCCCCCTTTAAAATTCCCTCTACCAAATATATAAAAACTCCAGTTTTGTATTTTTTATGCTTAATAATGTACTTTTATTTAATAATATTTACAAGGACTATTGTGCTGGGCATTACTGATGACCACACAGGGACCATGCTGCACCTTTACGGAACTCTCGCTGCGCCAGTCGCACTCAATGGGCACGAACTGACCCTTTCGCATCACGGTCTTTGGCTTGGTAATGCCATAGCAGGCATACTGAAAGACGCTCCTCGAGATGGGCAGACACTGCTCGTAGATCTCCACAATATCGGCGTGCATGCTGTCCACGGAGAAGTCCTGGCCGCAATGTAGCTGCTGATGAATGTGCAACTTGCTGCTCCTTGTGAACTGTGTGCGACACCGGCGGCATTGGAGGTTTTTCAGAGGTGAACCAGAGGGATCCCTTTCGATGGATTTCACGGGCGTGGAGAGCTCATGCAGGCGCTGAAATTGACCCATGATGTTGTTCAGGATGAGGAAGTTCTTGTTGGGCAACTGCTGCAGGGTCTCGCTGACATGGTAAGGCACCACATACAACTCCTTGGTGGTCTTGCACTGCTGCAGCCCGTACAGATTCACCCGCATGTTGGGCGGGAAGTAGCCGTTGCATTCGCGGTAGTGCTTCAGGTAGGCGGAACGCAGGATGGCCAGCTCTGATTCGCTTGTGCTTGTGGCGGGCAGATCCTCCTCCTCCTGTCTCAATTGCAGAGGCAGAGCAAAGGGTGTGGATCCGGGACTCTCCACCTCAACTCGTATCCGCTTGACTTGCACCCGCACCCTGGTGATGCTGCACTCGTCCATGCCGTACTCGCAGCTGCAGTTCAGATAGTTTTCAATCCTCTGCATTAGCATCTCGTAGACCACGCTCACACACTCCTCCACGTCGTAGTGATGCTCCACCTTGAGAGAGCCACTCTGAAAGATAAGCACCTGATCCATGGCATTTACATAGCAGGCCAGGTTGAACTCCACGGCAATGGTGTTGTTCTGGAACATCCAGCGGAGCAGCTCGGGAACACCTCGGGCACAGGTCTCGCCCATGAAGTGGTCATGCTTATCCCTGGAGCTCTCGTCGCAGAAGAAGAACGTTTCGATCTGACGGGCTTCAATGATGTCGAGGACAGCCTGTTGCTGTTTCGTTAGCTGCAGACCCTGCGAGGCTTCTCCACCTCGCAGCCAATGCTGGGATGGCGGCTCATCTGCATCGATGGAGCTGTAGCAGGTGGCGCACTCATGCAACTGGCCCTGGGCAAACCACTGATGGTGAAAGGTCTGTGTGGTGGCCTCGTTGGTGAACACAAAGCTTGAGATGGGCTCGTCGTCGTACATGGTGATTTTTTGCAAGTATTTAATTATTTTTTAAAATATTTATAACAATATTAATTAATTGTTTGTTTAATTTTTCGATGTTCTGCTGCTCGTTGGCAATTTTTCAGATTTACTGAGATGTGTCTAGGACAAGATTCAGTGGCTGACTGATTATTACCTCCTTTGGCCACCAGGCTTATATACAAGCAGAAGTTAGAGGTAGAAAGGGTAACAGGTAGTTATGGTCCTACCTGTAGCAGGTATGAATCCATCCCTTTGGGGTTTGATAACATCTGCTATCTGGGATTTTTCGTAATACCTAATCTACATCTTACATTTATGGGCTTTAAGGTGCTACCTTTTGGGCACAACATCTGCGAATCATAAAATTTGCAAAATACACTAAGCTTGATTAGGTAAAATCAGGTATATATACCTTTCTGAGCTAAGGTACTAGGTATCTCTTAAACTTTAATTTTCTGGAACGTTCCCTCAAAATTGTACCTTGAAATCTTCCATATATCTTAAAACCCCACTGGCTTGCAGCAAAAAAGTCAAACCAAAAATAGAGAAGAGAACAAACAAACTACGCCATAGTGTCATGCAATTTGCAGCAGTCAAACGCAGGACAGACCGTACAGTGGAGTCCCGGGAAACCGCCTCCATTCGACCCTTAAGCCTTTTCGTTGTCTCCACGCCAAACCAAGTGCACAATGGAGCAGTGGAAAAGTGGACAAGTGGACAATGGCCATCGCGTGGCAAGTGACGCGACAATGGCGGCAACGAGGATGGTGCTAGTGTCCTGCCACCGGAGCTGGAGCCAGACGCTCGGAGCTATGTGTCCACTGCTGGCCAGTCTCTCACTGCAGTCACTTAATTTCCGTTTCCGTTTTTCACGCTTCATTGTCCGCTTTGGTTTGGTTTTGGTTTCCTCCTACACTTTGCTCTCGCACCTTGCTATCCTTGCAATTTAAAGCAGCTCCCAGTTGAAATATGCCAGCAAATTAACAAAGGCAATTAGAAGGTGCTTCAAACGAGTTGGTATACAATAATTATTTAACCAAAAAGCCAGAGCCATTTGTCTAGCTTTAATTTGCATGCAAATTTATTGTGGTTAAAGTTATTTAAATGACATTTAGGGGGATATTTAGTTGGGAATTTATTTCCATAATTGTTTCAAATATTTATTAACAATTTATTTCAATAATTGTTTCATATATTTATTTAGAATTTTATTTAATATTCACTTTCATATTCTACGAAGCAATTAATTTATTTGCAATTTTTCTAAAGAACTGAACCGTTTGAGGTGTCGATTTTTTTCATGAATAAAAGCTGAATAATCAAAAAGTAGTTAACAAACTAAGCAGAAAATACATAAATCTATCTTTCAATAGAACTATGTGGATAACATATTTATTATATTAGTATTTTTATGATTATTACACAGTATTAAACAATTTAAGAGGTGTAGATTTGTCGAAATACACTAGCAAAATATTTGAGACTTTTTTTACTTCATACTTAATTTTTTACCTTAAAAAATATATGTAATTTAAATATTATGTATCCTAAAACCATGCCAACATTTATTAGAGGATAAAACCTAATAAAATTCTATAAAACTTCCTATAAGTTGCCACTCCAAAGAGCATTCCCTATTCTCCACCCTGTAAATCTTTTTCCTACTTTGTTGCACATTTTGAACTTTTCAACTTTTATTTATATTTATTTTTTGCTTTTCTATTTTTCACAGCTTGGGCTTTTTGCTGGCATGTAAACAATGCCACAGTGCCACAGAGAAGTGGCATCAGAGCATCAGCGGGCCAGGACTAAAACTTAATTAAGTCCGATGGAGGACGATGGCAACGGAGTTGTCCGAAATGCAGTAAACCCCAAAGAAGTTTCTCTTTTTTTTTCGCAAAAAGGATTGGCAGTACAAAATAAAAATTTGCCACAAAGTTGCAACCAAAGTGTCGGTGACTTCTACGGACACCGAGGCCGGAAGGGGCCAGGGATTCAGGGATTCGCATCCATCAGGTTAGCACACTCAAAATCAAATCAAAGAGCAACTGTAAAAATGTTATTTGCTCTGCACAGTGTGAAACCGAAAGCCAAATGCCAGTCCCAGTGAGCAATCAACCGGAGACCTTCCATAGATGCCCAACGGATAGATGGATGACGGAGTTTATATCGACCCAACTTCTACTCCTCCTCCTCCTCCTCACACCTTGGGCCATGCGTAGCCGGGTCATAAAAATTTCAAACTGCAACCTGGACATCCTTGACGTTCTGATGCTTTCATACTCCCTTGTAACGTCTCTACCCCCCCGTGAAAGGCTCCCGGGCATGCTGCTTAAAAGCTCAGCTAAGGGTCGTCTAATGGATGCGGCAGGACACCTGTCCGGGTGCGGGGCTTCGTTGGAAGTCCTGGCGATCCGGTAAATCCTGCAAAATTGAGCTGGATGAAATCTGTGCATTCGGTTTGTTTTTCTTCCCCCTTTGCCACCCGCCAGTATGTTGACATTTTTGCGAGTTTTACTCATATTTTTTTGTCTTTCAGAGCTGGCCAAGGGACAGGATCTGAAGCAAGTGTCCTGCACACATATTGAGCTTTTGATAGTTTGTTTTCCTTTGCTACATTTTCACACATTGGTTAAAGGAGAGAGAACAATTTATGGCATTGATGAAGATTGCTAATTGAGGTATGAATTAATGTTAAGCTATAACTTTTGTACTGTGGATATCTTACTGTAAAATTATTAACAGAAACTTTCTACATTAAAAATTTATTTTAAATTAAACAGTAAAGCTAGATAAGCCTTAGCTTATGCAAGTAGCTTTTTAATTGGTTATAGAATAGTGATTTTTCCTTGAATTTTGTAGCGACACTCGTGCCTTTGGGTCAATTATCTTTTTCAAGAGCTGCAACATTCCTGGAAACCCTTTTGAATTGCTTTAACTATTTTAACACATTTGTTACAGTTAATTTCTCGGAATGAATATTACAAGATTTTACGAAAAACAATCCTCTAAGCAGCTTTTAAATTGGTTTTAGTACTTTTTCCTGGAATTTTACACATATGTACATTTTCTGACTTTTTGGTCAAGAATAGCCACATTCCTAGAAATTCATTTAAAAATATGTGTTATAGTATTTTAGCTGAGTAATTTCTCGAAACGAATATTACAAGTCTCATGAATGCAATTCCCATTAAGTTTAAATGCATTTAACAGCCTTCTCTATTCATGACACTTTAACTTGATTTTTTGCATTGCAAACTTTTCCACTTTATGCGAGGCTCGGGCCTATGTGGAAAATGTGAAGGAAAGAAAACGTGTAACTTGGTTGCAATTTATGTTAAAATTCCCGTATTCATGCAGCTACCAACAACGAGGGCAAAGAAGCCCCCTTCAGATGTCTGGCTCTGCTGAAAATTGCCATAAAAACTTTGGCTGTCTCAATGGCAAAAGTCGTCAACAGCGTCGCCAACAGTGTCGCCAACATTGTCGTCGTCGTTGTCGTCATAGTTGTCGTCCTTCTCCTTAGTCCTTTTAGCCAGAAAATTCGCATAGACGGCTCACAGACGGAGAAGGCATAAGGCTAAAACTCTGGGTGGCTTTGGGATTTGAGGTGTTGACTGGGCCACAATTTGTCAGCAAGTTTTGCTAACAACTAGATTCCATGCTTGGTTTGAGTGCAATTGCATTGCCTTTGCCAATGTGCGCTGCATGCAAATTATGCAAATTCGCCTTTCAGCCGCCATCCAGCCGGTATCCCCTTTCACTTTCTAACCGACTGAGTGCAAGGTCAACATATTTATGCCCTTTTTATACCGTATGCATCGGGGCAAAAGGCAAAGCTAAAGCTAACGCTGAGCCAGCAGCAGCAGCGGCAGTCGAGACAGCAATTAAAATGCTTTAGAATTGAGTTCACTGTCAGCCAAAGATTGAGTCACTTGAAGGCATCATCATCCAGCTTGTTTGACAGCAGCCAGTAGACTGTCCTCATTAGATGACGACCAATGAGAGATGCCCTGCCACTTGTGGGTATGTTTTCGGGATTGCGTGGGGCATAAAGCTGGCATTCAGAAAGGGGAATCCTTTAAGGCACCGAAGAGCTTTGTAAGCAAAATGGGTGGGCGGAATTAGAGGGTGTTGATAAGGTGTGTTGAAATGATAAAGGGGTTGGGAATGAATTTAAAGTTTTTATATGAATTATACAAAATATAAAAAATATTTAATTAAATTGTAAATACACTTAAAATCAAAAAATGTAAATAAAATTTGCTTCTTTTCTAAATAAAATGTAAGAATTGGTCAAAAAATATTTTATTTATACTTTATAACTAATTTGATATTTAATTATACGCTTCAGGTTTATTATTATCATTATAATTATCTGAAAAACCATACTACATTTTACAAATATATTTATTTAGGATCCTTTATAAAAACTAAGACATAACATAGGTATATAACATAATTTATAAGACCTTTTCTGTTAACTTACAGATTTCTGTAAAGTCTTATACTCGAAACTGTTAACCAACTGCTAACACAGGCAATAGAACTGTTAATCTTTTGAGCAAGTTTAAAAATATTAACAAAAATATAAACAAACTATTTATAGAACGAATTATTTCTTCTTAACATTTTTCTTTTTATTAATAACTTTTTAAAGAACTGATTTCCATTAAGGGTATTTCGTAAACGACCCTCATTAATTAAAAATCTATTTGCAACATATGTTTGCATCTTATTTTCTGCATAATTTTGCAGTCTTTGTAGGCGAAATGAATTCTGGTGTTGACCTTGTTCTCTCGCCACATGCTTTGCTTGGCTAATTAATTATGCAACATTTCTGGGGGGTTGGCGGGGTCATGGGTAAGGCATATAAAACTAGAGCAAAATGGTTAGATAGTCCGTGCTAGATTTATATTTAATTTATTGCATTTAATTGAAATGCATTTGCAATGAGTGGCAAAACATCTGGCAAAGTGCTTCTATTGTTTTGTGTTTGCTGCTTAGCTGATAAAGATGTCTGCACTTTTGTGGGTTTTGTTTATATTTTTTGTTGTTGTTTTGATGTAAATCCTTGAGGCCAACCTTGGATTTGGAAAGTTGATATTTCTCTTTTCTATCCTATGAATTATGC